CACAGTGTATTCATTAATTTTCATTTTCATGTAGTAAAGGCTCTATGCCTTCATAAAGGACGTACTTTTCCTTTGTTTAAGGGTATTTGGGCAGTTTATTCTCTGTTATATTCTCAAGTAAACAATACATAAAAGTACAGTACAGTATTTTCTGAGGAAACACTCGTACTTATTTTTTTAACCCCATTCCCGATAACCCGGCATTTTCACAAACTCGGCCACCCTTCGGTCCACATTAGGCCGAGTTTTCGAGGTTCTACTGTATTATATATTATTGGAATGATTGTTACAAAGATGCATTAAGATGAGCTAACAAATGTAAATAAATTAAATAAAATACAATACAAGACACAAAACAATAACTGAAAACTAAAAACATCAAAGAAAAAGAACAATACATTATAGCAATATCTGAAGATATGAATCAAAGTGTTACATATATATTAAATAAGTTAAAAAGATTATATATAGTTTTAAACATTACAATTTACTAATAAAATAAACTCATAATAAACTAAACCTTCATATTTTGCTTCTGTGAATTTCTTTCGATGACAAAGTATGATTAATGTTACTAATACAGCTGCTAATACTATAAATGAAGATATCACAGGAATTAGAACTGCCATATCACTGAATGGTGATGGTTCATCAGTATGCACAATGAGTTCTGGAACAATTGTACCTGAAAGTAAATAAAATTCAACTTAATCTTGTTTTATTTTTAGATTAATAATTTATATCTTTAGAAAACAAATATAAAAATGTTTATTTAAAGTAGATTTCATGGCTGATAAAGAAAAAGTTTGTATTAATATTATGAAAACAGATATCAGATTACAGAATAAACATCAGTAAATAGTTTTTATACCAGAAGATAAGGAAGTAAATAATAATTATAGATGTAATTATCTATAATTATTGATATAATATTGAATAATAATATGATTACTATTTTACTTATATTTGTAGTAAAAAACTCAGTTAGTGTTGTAGGGATTAGGATTACATGTTGTTTATTAATATAAATATTTTAGGATAATTTGTAGTAGATTTTACAGCAATGAACCAATATCATTTACTGTACAAATAACTTTTTAATTAATATCTTTTTAATTCTTTCAAATTCTAATTTAAGACATAAATTATCAGTTAAAGTTTTGAATGAAATAAAATTTAATTTCTTGATTTTTATGTGCACAAGCACATATAAATCAGAAACTTATAATGCATAAAAATATTTAATATTCTCAATAGCCAAAACTATACTATTATTAAAATATTTTTAAAAAGTTAACTCAGATATATTTATCAAATTTTCTTTATTCTAAAAATAAATTAATTTTAATATATTTTTTACCTCTGAATTCTGAATGAGTTAATACGTCATATTCTGCAACTGTAGAACCAGCATGATTACGAGCTGTTACACGAACAACATACCATGTTTCTGATTTTAAATCATTTAATATTAATGGGCTGTGATTAGGTTTAAGTTCTTTAGCAGCTGTAATCCAGTCTGTATTTGAATGTATGCGATACTCCACACTTAATGATGTTATAGGACAACCTTTATTATGCCAGGCTTCAAGAAGAAGAATTATAGATGTGATATTTGAAGTAATAAAAGCTTCTTTCTTTGGAGGTAATGGACCTAAAATATTAATTCAAATTACAAAATAAATAACTATTATATAATATATTAAAATTCTTTTAATTTAATTTAGTTTTATACAATTTTAATAAGTATAACAAGTTTAATATATTTCAAATAGAATGTTTTAAAAATTTTCATTATATAAAAATAATGATGCAGTAATTTTCTTTAAATGAAACTTTGTCTTTAATTTCAACTAATGATGTTATGAGTCTTTAATATCATTTCCTATCACTTGAACAATACTCTATTTCACTTTAAACTTGAACTTTTCTGGCAGAATTAGCATTCTTTAGATTTGACCTGATGTAAGCTTGACTCTTTTTTTTTTTTTTTTACTAAGTAACCCAATGAGATTATACTTTGACTAACTGAGTCTAAATAAAGTGAGTGAATCATCACCACAGATAACTGGTACATGAGTTTACCTTTAGCTTCATCACTGCTAGAATAACTTAACACTTATTAGTACTTTTAAAAAAATAATAAAGCTGAAATTCCTGTTGATTTTCTGATACAAAACAACATAAAATAAATAGCAGTACCTATGACTTTAAAAACACATTAGAGAGTTGTTTCATGTTCCAGGAAAATCAATGCCTGTAATAGTGACGTTTTTTAAACTGCACCAAAGGAGAAGTTAATACAAATTATCAGTTATGTAATAATTATAATATGGAAAGAAATACTAAAAGATGGCCACTTGCTATATTTTAACAAATGTTAAATGTCATAGGAATTAATTTATATGTAGTAGTATTTAAATATAAAATATAACTGATGGAAAAGTAAGAATTAGCAGATAAGTTTTTTTTGAAAAATTTGGAATATCTACTTTTAAAGAATCATGTGATTTACAGATTGCAATGTTTATATCAAAGCCTTTAAAAGTATGATTGAATACATACTTAAAAGGAGAAAATATAATTGATCCAGAGAACATCCAAATGTAAAAAAAACTATGAATAATAAAAAAAATGCAAAAGATAGCATTTATGTTCTAGTAAAAATGATAATAGGCATTCCACAATTAATTTCTAATTTGTTTCCATTGAAAGGAATACAAACAGTCAACTTGTATTTGTAAAGCTGATAAAAAATTATTATTTTTGTTGAATTAAAATTTAGAGAAAAAAATTTTGTAGGTCAAATTACAAATTAATTTTTCGTAACATTTTTTTCATTTCTTAGACTAAAAAACTATGTGTTTTAAAAGATTGTGAAAATATAATTGTCCTTGCTCATATGACAAATTTTTAAAAATATGGATCATACTGACCTGACACGAGTGCAACTGTTCAGCAGTTTGAAGTGATTAATTAAAAGTTGTGATGGTACACCAATGTATTTGTCATTTTTTTCATATATGTTTTATATATATTTTTCTTTCCTTCTTTGTTCCTTTGTATATACTTCCTAGAACTTTCTTCCAAGTGTGGGTGGTGGGTGACCTGGTTAGAGGACAAAGAAAAGGAATAGCCCAGAGGGCAAGGGAGAGATGAGAGGGTCACTTTTTGCTTGGGACCTGGAAGAGGGAAGACGCGTCAAAGAGCTCTTCAGGTCGTTTTTGCATCGACTGGAGAAAGTAACGAAAGGTTTGAAAGAAAAGAAGGTCCGAGACCCAAAGAGGAAAGAAGTATTATGATTAATTTAATTAATTAAAACCCCTCAGTTCCCATTGACGAGTTAACTCGTCAAGCCTACATAGCCTTACGAAAAACGTGGTCCTTAAGGCCATTTTTGAAATTTTTTTTTTTGAATTTTTGGAATGTTTTTTAGGTCCCCAAATTTTTTCAAAATTTTTTGCCTGCACGAAAAAATTTTATCGCGATTTTAATTAGCCTTTAATAAGGCTCGATTAAGGCTTAATTGTTTTTTAATGGGAGTTTTTATTAAATTTATTTCATGGTTCCTAAGTTGTAGTGCATGGATTTTCCTTCGGTAAAGTTATTTAAAGCTAGTTTCTGATGTCAAAAACGACCTCCGATAGTTTTTTAATTTTTTTTAATATAAATTTAATTAATTAGGGGGTCGGAAATCGCATTTTTTCTATAATTGATTTGAAATCAGGTTATTTTCAGGTTAGTCTTGACCCTTCTGTTCGTTACATATACGACTTTTCTACTCCATGGGGAAAGTATCAAATGTGCCGTCTTCCCCAGGGAGCAAAAAACAGTGGCCGTTTTTTTCAGAACATAGTGTCCAATCTCCTAGCATCATTTATCGGAATCAGCTGTTTTGTATTCCAAGACAATATCGTCCTTTTTAGTAAATACTTCGAAGACCATATGATACTGGTTGATAGAGTTATAGGTGTCCTACACAATGCTAACTTAAAATTACATCCTAGGAAAAGTAGATTTGTAGTTAAGGAATTAAAATACTTGGGTCACATTATTAGCTGTGAAGGTATCCGCCCAGACCCCGAAAATATAACCATCTCATAACATTAAGGGTGTAAGAAGTTTTCTAGGAATGATATGCTTCTTCTGCAGTTTTATACCAAACTTCTCAAAACATAGCCCTGCCGTTGACAGCATTAACAAGGAAGAAAGCAAAGTTCTGTTGGAATGAGGACTGTCAGACTAGTTTCGATCGTTTTAAACAGTTACTCACTAACCCACCTTTGCTGAGACACCCCGACTTCTCTTCCCGCTTTCATCTGTTCATGGACGCATCTGATAAATGCGCTGGGTCAGTGCTAGGTCAGTTAATTGAAAATGAATTTTCCCCAGTGGGTTACTTTAGTAGAAAATTTAGCAGAGCTGAACTGAACTATTCCACAGTGGAGAAGGAATGTTTCGCTGTTATATTGTCTCTCCGTCACTTCAGACCCATCATATTGGGACACCAAATTGAGGTTCACTCTGACCATAAGCCTCTTTCATTCATAAAGAATATGAAAAACCATAATAAAAGGCTTATGCGATGGTTGATTGAGCTAGCGGATTACGACCTTAACATAAGCCATATTAAAGGTAATAGGAATTTAGTGGCCGATTTATTGTCGAGGCCAGAAAGGGCTATGCATAATAATGACCTGCGTTCGTGTAATGTTGTCTCTGTTAATTCCGATCTATGGAGAAAAATTATCAAATCCCAAGAGGAGGATAAGTTATTTAAAAATTTAAAACACCATTTTTCCAACCATGATCATAACCCAGTAGGCGACAACAACAACATTCCACCAAAATTTTCACTAGAAGGCGATGTTTTAATTCACAAAAAACCAGGGCAGTTTGGACTCCGTCACTGGAAACAAGTTTGTGTGGGAGAAGGAGTAGTCAATGAATTAATATGGGCGTTTCATTGTTCCCTCTTGTCGAGTCACATTGGTTTAGAAAAAAATTGCAACCTGATAGATCGATACTACTATGTAAAAAACCTCCACGCGCACGTAAAACGCATCATCCGTAATTGTAAGGTTTGCCAAAAACATAACCTCCATCGTGGCTGTGCCCCATTCCAGGAGACCGAAGTTGCTAGCTTTCCATTCCAGAAGCTAGCAATAGATATCATTAGTCCCCTCCAGAGATCATAGAACTAAAATTGGTATATCTTTTCAATGGTTGATGTCTATACTCGCTTTGCCGAAGCTGTACCAATAAAGGACCAATCAGCCCAAAGTGTAGCTGATGCCATATTTAATCATATTATTTGTAGATATGGCTGCCCTAGCATATCTACCAAAACATTTCAGGATGTTTGTAACCTACTAGCAATAAAACATAATGTGACAGCAGCTTATCAACCATGTGCCAACTCCATTTGTGAGCACTTCAATAAAACCATCGTTGGCACCATAGCCTGCATTTCACAGGGGGATAACCGTAACTGGGATGTTTTTTGTCACCTGCGTTATTTGCTTACAACAATGCAACTCATACATCTACAAATGAATCCCCAGCCTTTTTGCTATATGGTTTTGACCCTCACTTCCCTGTAGCATTCCCCAATGAATCACCAGATGACGACGGGGAGGAGCGTCTCAAAACAAACTTTAAAGACCGGTTAGATACTATACGGAAGGCTGCATATGACTTAGGTAGGAAACGGAATTCTTATAACAGGGAACGTATTAACAACAAAAGGGGGTTATTCTGAGTGGAAAGTAGGACAAAGGGTATGGTTGTTGCGAAACAGAAAAAAATAAGTCATGGGAAATTCTCGGCTAAGTATTTTGGCCCATATAGGATAATGCGTAAGCTAGGTTCAGTTACCATGGAAATCGGTGACAATCGGGAAAAAGACACCTGGATTGTACACATTGATCGACTAAAACCATGTTACTTCTCCATGTATGAAAATGATAAGAGAAGAGGGATGAGAAAACCTCCTGCTAGGAGAGAGGAGGAAGAGTTGACTAGCAATCTGAACGAAGATGAAGTATTCGAATACATTATACCCTCACCGAGAACAACATCCCAAGAAAATCAAGCCAGTGATTGACAGAGTGAATATGATAAACATGATGCCACTGATAACCGTGATGTTGATCCAAACCCCTCAACGGTATGACTTACAAGGACATAGATTGGATTACCGTAAGCTACACTACGGTAAATAGTTCTTAAGAGGGGGGCATATGTGGTGGTACACTAATGTATTTGTCATTTTTTTCATATATGTTTTATATATATTTTTCTATTTTTCCTTCCTTCTTTGTTCTTTGTTCCTTTGTACATACTTCCTGAAACTCTCTTCCAAGTGTGGGTGGTGGGTGACCTGGTTAGAGGACAAAGAAAAGGAATAGCCCAGAGGGCAAGAGAGACAACGAGAGGGTCACTTTTTGCTTGGAACCTGGAAGAGGGGAGACGCGTTGGAGAGGTCTCTAGGTCGTTTTTGCATTGACTGGAGAAGGTTACGAAAAGTTCGAAAAAAAAAAAAAGGTTCGAGACACAAGAGGAAGGAAGTATCACGATTAAGGACATTTGAAGGCTGAAGAGCCAAGAAAAATATTCATCAACTCACATACGATCAGTTCCCACAAATCCAGGATGACATCATCCAACCACCGCCACTTCGATCGCCAACTTGGGTACCCATTCTTGCTTGAAACTATATTTCTATCTATCCTTTTCTCTCTTTCTCTTATTAGAATAAGTAGATTTAAGTTAGTTATAAGTATTTTCTTTGTGTCGTGACAATTTTGTTCTGACTGTGGATCCGAAAAGATTTTGTTTTTGAGCGAAAAGGGAATTAGGAGTGTCGGAATCCAGAATATCCTGTAAAGTGTAAAATACGGCAAAAAATAAAAGCATGTTTTATTTTTTTTATATATGCATCTTTGTAAAAATTAAACCTCACCACGTGCATATGACCACAATATCTAACTAAATATTGTATCTATTAAAATTAGTAATAAATATACATGTGTTATCTAAACAAAATAATATGTATAGTACCTCCTCCTTTTGTTCTTGCAGAAACAATATTACTAGGATCACTTTTTCCTTCTTCATTTACACTTATTATATATATTTGATAATTGCTTCCACATATTAAATCATGAATAGTATATGTAGTATTTAAAGATGGCAATCTAATATGTTTCCAATCATTTGATTTTCCTTTATAATAAATTTCATAACCTATTAAGAGATAACAAATACTATTGAAAATAATTATTGGAATAAAACTTTTAATATAAAATTTAATTTAAAAACAACATTAATTTCATAATTATACAAGAATTTTAATTTGTAAATAATATAAAGCATAAAATAATTTAAAATAGCAAAATAAAATAAATTAATACCAAAAGACTTACTTTATAAAATAAATTATAAAATTACCAAATTCTTGAATTTATATACAACATAGAATATAATAGAGAATGAGCAGTTACTTATTGTGATATTGTCACAATGCTGGGGTGCAATTTTTAATCATATTTTAAATTTATTTAATTTAAAATACATGCTCTCCACCTCAAATTAGTAATGTCTTGCCCCTGTGCATCCTACTAGCAATAGAGTCATGCCAGCCATTTATCTAGCTTCTTTCAGGAGAAAATTTTTGAATGGAAACAACATGACTTGATCAAACTGGAAGTTCATATATAGCTATGGGCCTCCTGCTTTTAAGCTTTCCATATCTGGTCTTGGCTTTCATCTATCTAACTCTGTTCTTGAGATTAAGGAAAGATAGACAAATGCCAGTGGGAATTTATAGGCTGCAATTTAATTTTTTCAAATTGCAGCCTGATAATTTTTGTATACATTTGTGTTCTAATCTTGTTTTACTGACAGAATAATTTTAGTTTAATGTAATACCAATATTAAAATTTGGATCTTGATTAGCCAAGAATCATTTTAAAAAAAATTCCATATTATTCAAATTGAATTGTGAATTGTGTTTATTATTAATAATGACAAAAGAATCAGATACAGTACAGTTTGTTTCACAAAACTTTACTGACAGGTACAAGGTGTTTGAAAAAGGCTCTAGAAGTTTTACAAAGAATTCATTCTGGTAATTTCTCATAACACTAATTTTAAAAAAGGCTAATGAAATTTTAATTGTAAATATAGGTTTACATTTTTGTTAATATAGCTGTAAATAAAATTATTTTATCATATAATTTAAAAGTAATTTTGTCCAATAAATAGGTTTGACCCAAAAATAAAGTATATCTATATGTTAATGAATTCAAATTCAGTTTATTTAACAATTTACCAAATATTCTATGTTATCCAAGTTTTTAATCATATGATACCTTTATTCACATTCCCTTACATTACTTGGGACTCTACTATTAAGATGTTAGTCACAAAGCATAACATGTATAAGAAACAAATCACAAAAATATTTTCTGAAATGTGTATTAAAAGTGCACTAAAAATTGAATTGACTCTATACTTTTTAGGTTACAAAAATTTACTGTCCATATATAGCTTTTGAGAGAGAAATATTATAATAATGAATCTTCTTAAATCAAACCAGATATATACAGGGTGTATCAGAATGACATTTTAAAAATTTGGGGGATTGTAGAGAATGAAATTTTGAACATTTTGATATAAGGAACCCATAGCCAGAAATGTGATATAAAGTTTTTACAGCGGTAGGAAATGCTTGACCGACCTTTACTTTGGTAGCTACCCTTCCGTCCATTGATGTCATGTTATTGTTCTTGACTTCTTCCTCTGAGGTTATGTAAAGTCCCTTGTGTATGCAACACCTGTAGAAACAGTTCATGAGCTTATGGAGCGCATCTTTACAGCATTTAATACCATCAAAGGGGAGCGTGGCATCTTACAGAGAGTCAGACAAAATGTGGTTCATCGTTGCACATTATATAACGAAGTTGGTGGTCGTCACATTGAACATTTACTCTAAAGTAGTCCAGACACTGATTCAATGTACAGTTTGATTGTACTCTACTGTTTTGTCAATAAAACTTGTCATAAATACTGTATTCTGCTGTTTTATTCAGCATACTGACTGCAAAGTGCAAAGTGCTGTAGAAACTTTATATCACATTTCCGGCTATGAGTTTCTTATATCAAATTGTTCAAAATTTCATCCTCTACAATCCCTAAAATTTTTAAAACGTCATTCTGATACACCCTGTATTTATAAATATACATTTCCAAATGAACTGCATTGAAATCAAATTGATTACATATTATCTAGCCAAAAATAATGCCAGCTGAGTACAGTTAATTAAAAAAATGTATCCAGCTGCAGACTCAGAGTATCAATTGCTCCTTTTTATCTTGAATCTCCAATTTACATTTGATTATGGAGGTAGCAAGAAAATACCAGAGAGATTTATATCTGTATTTCATTGGCTATGCAAAAGCCTTCAACTACAAGGCTTATGAGAAGCTCTGGCTAAGACTCGAGAAAATGGGCAACTCAAAGCATCTCATTATGCTCATTAAATTGTGTGTCAATCAAGAAGCAACAGTCTAGACAGTATTTGGAGATATAGATGAATTTAAGATTGTAAAAAATATCTAAATGTGTCCTTGGTTCTAGCTACAAATCTATTCAACATTACACTGAATTAATCAGGAAACAATTGGATGAGTGTAAAACTGGCATAAAAATCAAAGGTAAAAAAATTAATAATCTCAGATACAATGATACATTTAGAAATATGGCACCCCTAGGTTCATATTATGCAGGTGCCCCCAAATTAATAATGTTACTTTATATTATGATTTCATCTTCTTGGGCTCCAGGATCAACTACAATGGACCCAAGATTAAGTAGAGAATTACATTTGGTTGTAGTGCTTTGTTAGGTTTGAATAATATTTGAGAGAGCTAAGATCTCAGATTAACTTGGTTGCTAAGTCAAGTATCATTTGGTAAATGCAATAGTTTTTCCCATTACTGTTTATGAATGTAAAAACTGGAAATTTCCAGGAGGCCAATCAGAGAAAAACTGATCCATTTGAATTATAGTAATGATGACGACTTCTCCATATTTCATGGACAGAAAGAATTACAAACAGACATGTAATTGACTGCATCAAACCAAGATCATCATAAAAAACAAAAGTTACCAAACAAAGGCTATCCTATTTTGGTCATGTGAGCTAATATATTGGAGAAGAACATCATGCTATGATGAATCAGCAAATTGTAAAAAACAGGATGACAACAAACTCAGTGACTAGATATTATCAAAACTCACACAGAAATGACTATGAATAAACTGAAGGAAACAGTACTTAACAAACATAATTAGCATAAGATGATCACAGGGTGACCAAGAGTCAGTCACAACTGAGTGGTTAATAATACATTTATTATTTTTACAATTCTTAAGAATAATTTAATATTAACTAAGTAACAACATTTATGCTATTCTATCATTTAAAATTTAAATTATATTCTAAGTAAGATAAAATAAATATTATAGATCTTAGTTAAATGCATATGAAAGTACATTTCTCATATTATTTTGATATTCATTATCGGTGGCGTGTGGTGACATTTGACGATAGGGAAGCTGAGTTGACCCTGGATAGATTCATTGGAAGCGTTATATGAAACTTTGGTGTGTAGCAGTCACAAGCTAAACCGTGTGAGGTTGGTGCTCTGTAAAGTGCATGCATGAATGCTTATAATCTGCCTGTTTTAAACAATTCAAATATTTTCACTGTGGCAACTGTCCCATATTTAACAATACAGTGCTTTCATTGGGAATATGCATATACGAATTTATATTCGAATATACAATAGCAATTTTATCATTTTTTTTCACAGGTATAAAAATTTGTAATAAAATACATAATGCAGTTATAATAAAATATTAATTTTAATTAATTCAAAGTATGTTAAAATACAAAAACAATCGTATAGTATATATTTATATTTTAGAAAATACAAGGAAAGCAGTGTGTGTCATCCACAGCTTCCATGGATGGCACACTACTGCTCATTATCATTATTTTTTTGGTTGTTTTTGGTCAATCAAGCTTCTTATACCCAATGTGAAAAAANTGTTTTAGAATAGAGAGTTGTTTTTGGTCTGATCACTGCCCAATAGTACTTTATTTGGAAGATCGTGCTACAGATTTTTTGGGTTGTTCTGGCACTTGTTATCAGAGGATTTTCTGGGACAGTGATCAGCTGGAGTCGTCGTCCACTGATTTGCGGTGCTGCTTGGAGCAGACCCCTAATTTATCTTTGTTGGAGCTCAGTAAGGTGATATTTGATTTTGCCAAAGTGAAAGGATTGACTCAAAGGAAAAAGACTATGGGTGGAATTCATGATTGGTTTGACTTGGATTGTTGATTAATGATTAGAGCTAGAAATAGAGCTTGGTTAGAGTTAAAAAAAAATGGTTTGGCGGCTCAGAGGAGAGTTTTTGTATTGTACCGAAGTTTGGTAAAGAAATTATGCTTAGCAAAGAAGAAAGAATTTTGCAAAAGGTTACAAAATGTTAAAAATTTTTATATATATCATAAAATTTCAGTAGTTTTTTTTCAAAGTAAAATATTAAATTACACTGATAGCTTTTTAATCTGCTACCTATGTGATGTTGGACTATCAAAATGCTGGATCACCAGATGTTTTTCTATTTTCAAAAAATTCAATAAGCTATGTTATTTATTTCAGACATTGTACTTTTTGTACCAGTACATACTGCTGTATGTTTCCTGACTTGTTTATGCATGCTCTTTAATCACTCTGATGATGATATAATGCAACTACATAATACTATACTATGTTAAGACTGTTTTAAAACATATAAAACTGTTAATAAACATATTATTGCACAAAATCAATATTATAACATTACCTGCCTAGAATCTTTAACACATCAATTGTCCAAACAAATTCCAATTCACGGAATACTACCATACTGGATTATTATTGGACAATTCCAGATTATTGGCTTCTATTTAGAGGGTGTCAGATTATCATTCCAAATTATTTGGTGCTGAATTAATGAACTTTTGCACATTTAATAATTACAAAATGATTTAACTTCATCTTTAAAAAATCACAAGCTTAGAATTTTTAAAACCTAGTTCAAAAGTTTTTTCATAAAAATAAAACATTTTTTTTATAAACATTCATTTAATATAGCATTAAAACAAAAACAACCTTTTAAGTCTAACTAAAAAATTTAATTACAAATGTTTTCAAACTCTTTAAGGCCATCATCCAGTAACACATTTGATGGAAATAGATGACCAATTTGAAATTTTGAATGCATGTAAATATATTTAAAACATAACACTAATAATGGCAAGAATTAACAATGAACAAGCATTATACAAACTTGCATAGCTTACTACTAAAATTTTTTCTAAAAGTAACAGAATTTTGATTGGATTGAATATATTAAGTTTGAAATTCCATTCCATCAGTTTTGCACTGTAAACATTTGATTACAGAATTAACTTTAAAAAACTTACTATTATATTAAGTTGATAATAACTGAAAAGATTAATTAGTAAAGATTTAAATAAAGATATAAAATCAAATTTTAAGTCAAAATTTACTGCACTTTTGTTGTATAATTCAAATGTTAAAAGTACGTTTTATATATAATTGATTTTTTGTATAATGTATCAAGGAAATGTTTTCAATGTTTAATTTTTATGAAAATAATTGTGATTTTACATATGATATTATTTAAAATTAACTCATAAGTTAATTTCATACAAATTATATAGAACAATAATAGCTAAGTAACTGAATTAGAAGTTAGAAGCAATTTATAAATTTAAAAAAAATTTGTCTCATTGTCTCACTTGGACATTTCATACACATAAAATACAGAGGAAAGTTTTAATTTCCTTTCCTTACTTTTCAGTTTTTACAGACAAATCAGAAAAACTTATTTATAGAATTGATTAAAAACTTTCGAAAATATTTGCATAATGTTATCCATAATAATAAAGTAACAGGCCAATTATCTGACTTCCAGAAAACTGACTACTTTTGAAAATGGCAGGATGTAGTACAACTGTAATTCACTGCATAGCTACTTTGTTTTGGTTCCCATGGCCTATATGTCATATGATGTTCTTCCATTATGTTCTTTACTTTTCTTCGTTTAATTCCATTAATTCTATTATGTTCTTTACTTTTCTTTGTTTAATTTTCATCCTAAATATTACATTATACATATTATTGTATATTTTAAGAGGATTATTAATGATAAAACAGACTCTGCTTTAAAAGTATATTAATACGAGGCGTGTTTTTAATGTAAGTACCGTTTTAATATAACGCCGCTGGAGTGCTGCAGTCGGCACTTAGCGCATGCGCGCTGTGTACCTACATCTGTTGGGAAGCCACAAACGCCATTACAGAGCCAGTCGACTCTGTTTACTGTTGTTTGTGTGTTATTGAAATGCCGCCGCTCATTGAGAATCCCGCCGACTGCGAAGTGCGTGCCGTTATTCGTTTTTCAGTGCTAAAGGCTCGAAAGCGGCTGAAATTCATCGCCAAATCAGTGAAGTTTATGATGAAAGCGTTATGAGTGAAGGAATGGTACAAAAATGGGTTAGGGCCTTTAGTAAGTGGGCGACCTTCAGTCATTATCGACGATTTGATTGAAAAAGTGGCGACCTTCAGTCATTATCGACGATTTGATTGAAAATTCACGATAAATTTTTCAAGCAGCGAATAGTTCTTTCTAACGATTCACGATTTCATCTTTATCTAACGAGTTTCCTGCAGTTTCAAGAAGTGTTCTCTATGAAATTGTGACCGGACGATTAAATTATCGGAAGTTGTGTTCCCGTTGGGTGCCGAAAATGTTGACGGAGGAGCACAAAACCAAACGTTTGGCCAGTGCATTGACTTTTCTTGAGCGCTACAGTGACGAAGGAGATGATTTTTTAAGTCGTATTGTTACAGGTGATGAAACGTGGGTATCCTACGTTACACTGGAATCAAAGCAACAATCCATGGAATGGCGACATTCATCATCTCCAAGGAAAGTCAAGTTCAAGCAAACAATTTCTGCTCAGAAAATCATGTGCACGGTGTTTTGGGACAGATACAGAGTGTTGCTTGTTGATTTTTTGCCTCATGGTGAAACGATCAATTCAGCTGCATACTGTGACACTTTAAAAAAACTGCGCCGTGCAGTACAAAACAAAAGGCGGGGCTTACTGAGCAAGGGTGTTGTTTTGCTCCACGATAATGCTCATCCACATACGGCAAATCAAACTCAAGACCTAATCACATCATTTGGCTAAAAACAATTAGACCACCCTCCATACAGTCCCGACCTAGCGCCGAGTGACTATCATTTGTTTCTGCATTTGAAGAAGCATCTGGCAGGGCAGCGCCATAACAATCATGATGAAGTCAAAACGACCATTCTGCAGTGGTTGTCTCATCAGGTGGCAACATTCTTTGAGGATGGAATACAAAAGCTGGTCCCATGAAACGATAAGTGTCTCAATATTAATGGGAATTATGCAGAAAAGTAGTGTAAAATATGGGCTTTCACATAAATAAAAATTTTGTTAAAAATGTTTGCTTGTTTTTTTTATATTTCAAAACGGTACTTACTTTAAAAACACGCCTCGTATTTATCTGCTAAATATAATTTCAATTACAAACATAACTTTGTGCCTCCGGGTCTAAGTATTACAACAGCTAACACATGACTTGAGTACTTGAGTCCAAAAGAGAGAAGGCTGTCTTATGACTTAGCCCTTGGAAGTTGGAAGTTGAAGAGGGGGTGAGGGAGGAGAGGAAGTTGTGGTTTGAAAGGAAAGTGAAAGCATAGAAGGGGAGTGTGAAGGGTGGGATCTCATTGGCGTGTTACATCGCACTTATTTAAGACAAAACATTTGATATTTACAGGGACCAATTTGGTCAGATGAGACATGATGATACAGGGTATACAATTGGGATACATAATCACAATACCGCAGATAGAAGGTAACATACCCTCACTAGAGGTAACATAACACAGGTTTTGTATAATCCAAGGTACATAGATAGAGTATTATATATAATCCTAAGTACATAGATAAGGTTTTGTAGATGGAGAGGACGACACCGCGTTACAGTAGGGTAACACTTCATAACTTAAAGTCCGATGCGCCTATTTACACATTGCAGGCTGAGAGGACAACCTAGTACAACAGTAGGGTTGCCCTGCGTAGAGGAGTGGCGGCCGGTTACTGCAAGCCTCCATACAGGCCCGGTCGCTGGAATGATCGAAGATCCCACTCGGTGATAAATTTTTCACCGCACTCGGTGATAAATTTTTCAAGCAGCGAATAGTTCTTTTTGGTGCTGAGAAAGTCCTCCCATGGTGGGGGCCAAGTAGCTAACACATGACTGACTGGAGACAAAGGAACATTACAAAGGTCAGAGATGGGGATCACCTAACTATGTCAAGGGGCAATTCAATGTGAGTTATCCCCTGGAGGTTTACATACATAACACTTTCCATTGTTTATTTTACATTTTAAGTATATATTTAGACTATCTCCAGCAATATGGACCAACTTCTGGTCCCAAACTTGCCAGATAATTGGTCTAGTACTTCATAATCTTATAATATATAAATAATTCTGAAATGTATCATCAAACCTTAGTTTCCATTGTCGTATTGGTGTAGGCAGCCCAACAGCTCTACAAGGTAATTCAATATTCCGTCTTTGATTAACAATAATTTGGGTAGAAAATGAAGAAATCCTAGCTGGTGCTAAAAAATATTTGAAATTTAAAAATTTATTATACATAAATGCATAAAATAAATATCAAAATATTCTTATAAAATATTAGAATAAATATTAATATAATATAGTAATGCTTTAATTGCTTAAAATTATTATTTATAATATTACTATTATTTATACTTATTAAGTAGTGTGGTGGTACACCAATATATTTTTGTTATATTTTTATATATATGTATATATATATAATTTTCTATCTTTCCTTCTTTCTTTGTTCTGTGTTCCTTTGTCTATACTTTCTGGAACTTTCGTCCAGGTGTGGGTGGTCGATGACCCAATTAGGAGACAAAAGATTAGAAATAGCCCAGAGGGCAAGTGAGAGACTACGAGAGTTACTTCTGGCTTCGGACCTAGAAGAGGGAAGACCGTCAGAGAGAGGTCTCCAGGTCAGTGTTGCTTCGGCTGAAAGAGGCATGAAGAGCACGTAAGGAAGAAGTAGCGTTGATAAGGACATTGGCCAGCCAAAAGATAAAAGACATTTTTATTTGATTATCGCATGCGATCCGTCCCCCAAAAGGAAAATTCCCAAGACGAAGTCATCCAGCAGCCGCCACCCCAATCGCCAACTCGGGTACCCGTTCCATCCTAAAATATTTCCGTTTCTCTCTTCTAATCTAACTTTCTTTTCCTTTTTCCTTTTCTTTTTAGATATAAGTAAGTTTAAGTTAGAAGTTAAGTATCTCTTTGTATCGCGAAAGTCTTGCTCGACTGTGAATCAAAAAAAAGGTGTTGTTTGTTCTTTTGTTTGATGTAAGGACTCAGGAGGTCGGAATCGACAAGAACCTTTCCTGTATATGTTCACAGAAAATAATAAAGCACGTCTTATTTGTTTTATATACCCGTTTCTTTGTGAAATCAACCCTCACCACGTGCTTATCACAACAGTAGTTAAATATGTTGGAAAGAATTTGTTTATGTCTAGATATTGTTTTAATGAATAACACTTATTGTTAATGGTGAAGGTCTAAAGTCTAATAGCAACTTAATATATAATAATACTAGCTGTTTTCCGCGGTTTTGCCCGCACGGATTTTGCAAGCAAACCCCATTTATATTCAGTATTTCAACAACCATAGTAATTGTTATATAACACCTACTGCTGAGAATGATGAGAATTGCCAAGAATCAAACAAACTATTTTCAATTTGATCAATTTTCTGGAATGTTTACAATCATTCTATAATCGAACCAACATGCAATAACAAATTCGAATTTAAAACGGTTCGAACATTTTTAAAATCAAAATAGATAAAAATATTTATAACAATGTCTGAAATGTTATTAATTTAATACACCTAAGTACTCGATGAAGACTAAATCCTCTCCCTCTCCGCCCGTGGGGAAATTTCGAAAAATCCCTTCTTAGTGTGCATTGCCATGGCATACCCTACTAAAACACAAATAGAAACAAAAAATTTCATCTAAAATAGTACAGTAGAAGCCGTTCTTCCAGTTAAGACTTAATGCTCTCCCTTAACCCCGCGGGGGAATTTCTAAAAATCCCTTCTTAGTGTGCATTGCCATGGCATACCCTACCACAAAGCAGATAAAAACAAAAAATCGCATCTAAAATAGTACAGTAGAAGCTGTTCTTCTGGTTAAGCCTTAATGCTCTACCTCTCCCCCCCACAGGGGAATTTCAAAAAATTTCTTCTTAGTGTGCATTGCCATGGCATACCCTACTAAAACGCAGATAAAAACAAAAAATTGCATCTAAAATAGTACAGTAGAAGCTGTTCTTCTGGTTAAGCCTTAATGCTCTCCCTCATCCCCCGCGGGGGAATTTCTAAAAATCCCTTCTTAGTGTGCATTGCCATAACGTACCCTACTAAAACGCAGATAAAAACAAAAAATTGCATCTAAAATAGTACAGTAGAAGCTATTCTTCTGGTTAAGCCTTAATCCTCTCCCTCTCCCCCCGCGAAGGAATTTTGAAAAATCCCTTTTTAGTGTGTGTTTCCATGACGTACCCTAGCTGTCTACCAAATTTCACATCTTTAGGTTAAGCGGTCTACTCTGGGAGATGATGAATCAGTGAGTGAGTGAGTCATTCAGTCAGTCAGTCAGGACAAGCAATTTTATATATTTAGATATATGAAAAAATTTTCTATCCAGATCTCTATCATCACTTGGGATAAAATTTACTATTATTAATTAATTTGTTCCAAAAATTTATACAAAAAACTGAATACATACATTTAAACTATAGAATGTATTAAAAGTTACATTAGAATATATAAAATACTTTTCGAAAGAAATATGTGAAAAAATGTAATTTGAAAATAGTTTGCACTTATAATTACAAAAAGGGGAGACTATCCGATTTCTTTTTGAAAGAGTAATATAAATTGTTGTTTTTTCTTTTTCTAGGTAAGTTTAGTTTATAAATATGTCCCAGGTTTGGAAGAGGAAGACTTTTTCTCCAACCGTTCCTGAAAGATCAACAGCTAGGTTTAGGGGTGAGATTTCTTCTGGTGAAGAGGATATTGCAAATTTATTACAGGATTCAAATTTTGATGTGGCAGAAGGAATTAGGCTTCTATCGTGATTGCATGTTTTGTTGAATGGTAAGGTTGATAAATTTATCAGAATACTGGATCACCTGACAGAGTGGCTCAAGAATGTAGGTGAGGCGTTGATTGATTTCGAGGTGAGGTTGGGAGAGGTTGAGTCAAAGGTTGGAGGGGATGGAATTGGTGTCGGGCATTCGGTGGATATGGATAAAATTTTTACGAAATTGTCTTTTTTTGAGAGGGAACTGGATGCTATGGACAATCAGAGAAGGATGAACAATGTTGTTATCCACGGATTGGAAGAGAGGAAAGAGGAATCATCTTTGGAAATATTTGATACTGTTAGTTCTTTTGTGGTTAATACTTTAAATTTATCCTCGTTACATTTTGTAAGCGTGCATCGGACTGGGAAGAGGGTTGAAGATAAACCCAGATCTGTGATTTGTCAATTTAAGTCTTTTAGTGATAAATTAAGGTTTAAAAAGGCTGTATTTGAGAATTGAAATCTTAATGTTGCTGTGTATGATAATTTTTCTAAACGTTTAAGGGATATTAGATACAACCTAAGGATTTTTGGAAAGAAAAAAAGGGAGGAAAGAGCAAGAATTATTCGGTTAAGTTATGATAAGTTATTGGTAGATGGAGTTCGGTATAAATTATCGGCCAAGGTGGTGCTGATCTCATAGCAACTACCAATGACTTCTGTGTTTTCTTTTATGGCGTGGAATTGTGCTCGGATTGGTAATAAACTGCGGCCCTTTTGGAGTTATCTATTGAAGTATGATGTGGTTTTTTTATCGGAAACATGGTTTGTTAAAGGTGGGAGTAGATGTTATTGGGAGGAATTAAGAGAATATCATTATATTGTTGGTGATGCCTTGAGGGTTCACAATAAAGGTAAACCTATGGCTGGTTGGTTGCTTTGCATTAAATCTTATTTGAAATTTAATATTATTTATAGAGATAGTTATATTGTACTGATTAATATTTTGCTACTATTAGGAGAGTTTAATATTTGTTTTGTTTATATACAGGAACAAAGATGGCAAGAAATTTTTGATGTATTGTCCAGGTTTGAGATCGACGACTCTAATTGAATTTGGTTGGGTGATTTTAATGCACGGATTGGTGACCATAATATAATTTCGACAAGTATATGTGATAGTAGAGGTATTACTGTTAATAAGAGAAGTAAAGCTTCCAAGGATGTAAATATGAATGTGAGAGGATGGAAAGTTCTTGAGTATTGTGCGGATAATGATTTAATAATTCTAAATGGTCGAGCTTCTGGTGATGAAGCAGGAGAGTTTACTTTTGTTTCTAAATGAGGATCCTCAGTAATTGATTTGGGAATAGTTACTCCTCCTGTGTGGAATTGTATTAAATGTTTTAGAATAGAGAGTTGTTTTTGGTCTGATCACTGCCCAATAGTACTTTATTTGGAAGATCGTGCTACAGATTTTTTGGGTTGTTCTGGCACTTGTTATCAGAGGATTTTCTGGGACAGTGATCAGCTGGAGTCGTCGTCCACTGATTTGCGGTGCTGCTTGGAGCAGACCCCTAATTTATCTTTGTTGGAGCTCAGTAAGGTGATATTTGATTTTGCCAAAGTGAAAGGATTGACTCAAAGGAAAAAGACTATGGGTGGAATTCATGATTGGTTTGACTTGGATTGTTGATTAATGATTAGAGCTAGAAATAGAGCTTGGTTAGAGTTAAAAAAAAATGGTTTGGCGGCTCAGAGGAGAGTTTTTGTATTGTACCGAAGTTTGGTAAAGAAATTATGCTTAGCAAAGAAGAAAGAATTTTGCAAAAGGTTACAAAATGTTAAAAATTTTTATAAAAATAATAGATTATTTTGGAATTTATGTAAAGCAAGATGAAATTGTGTTAGGGTAAATATCAGTTTACTTGATTGGTTTAGTTATTTCTTCTCCCTTTATGGCTCTGAGAGTTCATATAATGCTGATTTAGTGGTTTTTAATGATTGTGTGACTTGGTTGAACGAAATATTGGATTCTTATATTTTGGAGGAGGAACTAAGAATCGTTTTAAGTAAGTCAAGTGTTGGTGGTGCTCCGGGAATAGATGGTATTCCTACTGAATTTTGGAAAATTGATAGTGCTTTTTTTTTGTTTATTAGATAATTTTAATAAGGTTTTGAAAACTGGTGTTATTCTGGATGAATGGAAGCGTTCTTTATTGGTTCCAGTGCCTAAGGGTGGCTGAAGGTCAGTGTTTACAAATTATAAAGGTATCTTGTTGTTGTGTTGTGTCTCTAAGATTTTTTGTAGAGTTCTGTATTACAGGGTAATAAGTTGGCTGAGTATGAGAGATATTCTATCAGAGAGTCAGGCTGGTTTTCGTGCAGGCTACTCGACTGTTGATAATATTTTTATTCTCTATACTGTTATTGCTAAGACATTAAGCAGGAAATGGTGTAAGGTTTATGCTTTTTTTATAGATTAAGCATCAGCATTTGATTCTGTTGATAGGAATTTATTATGGAGGAAATTATTAAAGTTTGGTTTAAGTTTTAAGTTTGTATCTTTATTGGCAGAGTTATATAGTGGCTCAAATGTTAGGATTAAATGGAGGAATTATTGTTCTCAACCTTTCTTTTCTGATAAGGGTGTTAAACAGGGTTGCATTCTAAGCCCTATTCTTTTTAGTTTATTCTTAAATGATTTATTGAATTATATTGATGATTCCGGCGGAGATGGTATAGTTGTTGGCAATGTTTCTGTTAAGATATTAGCATACGCGGATGATGTGGTAATTGTGGCGGATTCTCCGAGGTCGTAGCAGAGGTCGATTGACCTTCTGGATAAATATTTAAAAGATAATAGTTTACAATTGAATCTTGCAAAATCTAAAATTGTGGCTTTTCGAAATGGTGGTAAGGTTTCTAAGGCTGATAAATGGTGGTTCCGAAGTGTTCCAATTTTGGTTGTATCACAATATAAGTATTTAGGTGTAATTTTTAAAAGTAATGGTTATTTTAATACTCATGTGAGGTCCTGTAAAGTTAATGCAGAAATAAAAATGGGCAAAGTTATTCATGTGTCAGTCTGCTAAGTTGTATAATTTGAAGGATTGGTTAAGGTTATTTAATGCTGTGTTGGGTTCATCTCTTCTTTACGCTTCTGAGGTGTGGGGTTTCAGGCAGAAACCTTGGATACAATATTATATTTTGTTAAGAGAATGTACGGGCTTCCAAGGTGTACTCCTGGTTATTTAGTGTCTATGGAGTGTTCATTGATTCCTTTATCTTGTTTGATGTTGAACAGATGTGTTAATTGGATTTTTAGAACGTTGAGTTTAAACGATGAATGCCTTAGTAAGATTTGTTTGCATTCTGTTTTGAAACAAGTTGAGTTACCTTGGTCAAAGTATTGGTTGGCTAATTGTTCAAGGAACAGAATCAATTTTGATAATTTGTTACAAGATGTTAATAGTGTTTATCTATTAAAGTTAAATAATTTTGATAATTATATTTCGAAGTTGAATCATGGTATATTATTAAGCTCTTATTGTGAGTGGTATAAGAATCTGAATAAAACCTTTTTTGATTGTTGTATTTATAATAGTAATTTTTCTTCTAATGTTATGGCCGTATTAATGCAAGTAAGATGTAATTCATTAAGTTTTTTATGTAATTACAGAAGGGACAGTTTCATATGTGGTGTGGCTGACTCGCCATTGGATGCGTTTCATATTATCACTGTTTGTACTTTTTTGTCAAAATTATGTGAGAAGACATTTGGGGTTCACTGTTTTCATTTAATCAGTTTAAAAAGTTATTTCTGATTTTGATTTATTTTTTAAGGTATTTACTTTTATAAAGAAGGTTAAATTGTTTATTTCATAATGTTTACATTATATTTGATTTTGATTTTTTTTCTTTCTTATTGTTTTTAGGCTTAAAGCGAAAATAGTGGTTATTTTATGTAAATTTCATCTTGGGGCGTGGTCTGCCTATTATTTAACCTGTGGTTGCTTGGACTGCTTGGAAGACTATCCGATTTCTTTTTGAAAGAGTGTTATAAATTGTTGTTTTTTCTTTTTCTAGGTAAGTTTTAACCTAGTTGGTTGTTAATTTGTTTTGGATAGTTCTCCCATGTAGTTCTTTAAGTTTGTTTTATTTTTATTGAATTTAGTTTAGAATGATTTATGAATTGTGTAATTTTCTATTAATATAATATTATGTTACTGCAATTGATGGATATATCTGTGGAACACGTTTATATTATTTTGTAAGGTTATGTATACTTTTGTTTTGTTTTGTTCTATCCCCGCATCAGGGTCTTTGTACCAGAATGCTAAATAAATAAATTAAATTAAATAAATAAATATAATTACAAAAAAAATTTATAACAAAAAAAAAAAACAAGGAGTAAGTTATAATTCTAAGTAATGTCTCTGACACTTGTATAAATTGTAGAAGTGATTTATTACTATTAATGATATCAAAAAAATGGAGGTATTAGTATGATATTACAAAATGAGCATCTTCCAGCACAACAACATACAGTATGAGATGCACACTTTATTGGAATTCTTAGTGCATTTTTCTCATGATTCTGACATTCTATCAGTTGTATCTTGATTCAACTTGAGACTTATTCCACACACATCATTTATTCAAAATTTTTTCTATATAAATATCAGTCAAAAAATGTTTCATTGAGAAATATGTAAAAGAGGACCAAAAAAAACACCTGAGAATTCTCTTCTGGATGGCTCGCTCCTTCTAGTACAAGCTTCCTGTGCTAGGTGAGTGTTGGATGAATCCATCTGCATCAGTTTACCAAATAACATTGTTGTAAAAGGCTGTTTTGCAACAGTGAAAAATTTTTTGAGATTTTTTCAACACATTTTCCTATCTATTTCTTTGATATGAGAGGGATTGTGCATTTGAAATTTGTTCCTCCAGATCAAACAATTAACCAGAATGTTTATCTGGAAGTTTTGAGAAAACTGTCAAGATTTGCAAAAGTAACATCTCAAATTATGACAAAAAAAAAAAAAAAATGGGTGACTGGGTTTTCTACCATGACAACGCTCCTACCCATACTGGACTGAGTGTTCAGCAGTTTTTGGCCAGAAATAGTATGACCCCATGCTTCACGTCTATATTCACCTGATCTTGCCCTATGAGACCTTCTTTTTGTTTCCCCAGATAAAAAAAAGTCCTTAAAGGAAAAAGATTTTCCAGTATGGAAGATGCAAAACAAAAAATAGAGAAGCACTAAAAGTCATCAAAATTGATGAATTCAAAAACTGTTTTGAGCAGTGCAAAAAATTATTTTGATAAGTACATTGCATCAAACAGAGAGTACTTTGAAGATGATTAAAGTTTGAACATGTGAAAATAAAAATACACAATGTTTTCTAAATAAATTCTGGTTTCTATTTTTGACTCCCCTCATACATTCTCCGAAGCTTGAGTTTAAAAAACAAAATCAACCCATACTGAAAAATGTTAACTAAGTAGATGTTCTGCAGGGAATGACCATATTTTGTCTATTATAATCATAATAGATAAATCAATTTAACAAACATTGAAAATTATTATTAAATGTAACTTATTAAATTAAAGTTACTTTTCTAAATATAAAATTTTAATACATAAAACTTGTGAAATATATACCTCTTTGACTAGTTGACTGAGTAACAATTAAAGATGGATCTCCTTCTCCAACAGATGTACTAGCTGTTACCCAAAATTCATAGCGCTGACCTCTCTTTAATTCTCTTGCTTCATAAAATAATTGAGTTGGAGGCAAAGTAACTTTTGTAGTATTCTTAAAATAACATTAAAACATTAATTTATATTTTCATTAAATTATTGTGAAATTAATAAATTGGATTACATAGCTAACTAAATTATTACAAATTATATGCCTCCTTTAATTATTCAAATATAACATTATACAAATTTAAATTAAAATAAACTCACATGTCTTCCAAGTGTATATCCTCGACAAAATACATTATATTCTGTAAGAATTCCATTTGGATTTGTAGGAGGCATCCAACTTACTAAAATAGCATCAATAGCCATAACAATAACTTTGATATTTTGTGGTCGGCCAGGAACTTTAGAAATAGGGAAAATTATCAATTCCAAAATATTTTTGTATCTAGTTATTATAAAGAAATTATATCTGAAAATCAATGAATACCTAAAAAAACATGTTTTACAATAGAACATGCTTATTGTATGTACAGTACTTTGGGACTTGTCTACACTGATAATGAAAGCCCAATGATAGCATTAAGTGGAACAAGTAAACAAGACTATCATCAGTGGAAATTCTGCTTTTAATAACTCTGGTTGACTTTGAGACTACAAGAATATGTTAAATCAATTAAAAAATGTACAATTTAAAAATATTTTATTAATTAAAATGATTACTATTAATTAATAGTAATTAATCGAGTGTAGTTTTCTACCTTTTTTGCAGTATCAGATTTAATAATTAGTATATAACTGAAGCAAGAAATTCCAGCAATTTAAAATACTATACTACAAACTAATAATGAATGATTCTGTGATTTTGAAATCACAGAAGTGATTCATTACTATGATTTCATTATATCAGTGATTTTAATATATGATGTGATCACAATTACCAATGAAAATGCAGATATTCTATTGTCAGTTTTCAAGCTTAGAATTACTGTTTTTCTTTTAACTCTTTCACCCTATGAGTACCAAGAGAACCTTTTTAGCAAGTCCATTACGAGTTCTGCCAGACTCACAATAGTGTAGCTGGGTGATAAGAGATGAGCTTAACAAATCTTGATGGACTGCCCCTGAAAAATTCCTGGGATTTGTCAACTTGTCCAAGTTCAATCCAGGTTCTCCAGAGAAGCAGGCTGTCATCTTAATCTCTAGGCCATCCAGCCAATTAGAATTACTGGTAGAATTACTAGAATTACAAGTGTGATGTAAGAAAAATGGTTGAATACAATGATTTTATAAATAACATACACTTGATTAAGCATACCTGATTCAAAGCCAAAGTAAAATTATACACCATATTCAAAAAACATCAAAAGTGAACTATATATTCTAAAACACAAAACATAAAATAAAAGTAACTATTTACTGATTTCCCAATTAAACATATTTTATAAAAGCTATATTCAATAATATTTAAAAAAAATTATATATTCCAAAATGCAAAAATTCTAACAACTTTTGATAAACATTTATGTATAACAGCATTTTTTTATTTCTTATCAGAAAGGAAACTATGCCTGTCACAAGTAAAATAAGAAGCTAAGTCATTTAATTGTTAATTATGTGATCAGCTTTCTAAACTAACACAATCACAGGTAATGAAATTACGCTCATCATCATTGAAAACAAATAATGATTAAGACCATTAACCAGAGCCGGCCCTACCATAGGGCGAACGGAGCAGCCGCTCCAGGCGCTAAATCCTAGGGGGCGCCTCAGTGGTAAAAAAAAGTAAAGAAAAAAAAATTTTTTTTTCACTTTTCGATATTTTAATTGCAAACGTGTAGTCAGTATGTGAATGGTCTTATCTGTTGAGACGTGCGTGGGTCGAGTGCGTGGGCGGGGTTCCACCCCCCGGGCGCCATAATAGAATCTCGCTCCATCCTAAAACTTGCCTCGGGCCGGCACTGCCATTAACATTTAAAGCAACTGGTTAAGATTGATAATGATAACTAACAACAACTGGTGTTATTAGGCACATGCTAAGGATGAAACAAACAGTTTAAAAATACTTATTTACCTGAAGATAATGATAAATATAATAGAATTCTGATTATAATAAACAAAGTTGTATAGTGTGTTTAAATTGTAATTTTTGGGACATGCTAATTCTGATAACCTCAAACAAGTAATAATAATAATATTCATGATTACAATAAGCAAATTCTACTATATAAGAATATTATATTACTGCACAATAATTCAATAAAAGAACATTTACTGTAATGACATAAAAATGTACAAATAACTAGATATAAATAAAACTTACGATCTTCTTTAGTTGAGCAAAACAGTTCATCACTTGGAACGCCACTTCCAGCTCTGGTTAAAGCCATTGTTTTTATACTATAATTAGTAAATTTCTCTAGATTGTCCAAATTAATTTTTACATTAGTAGTTATTATTTCTTTTTGAAGTTTTTCTTTCTCTATAAAAGACAGTTAAACATTTAATATTAATTATGATAATCTAGCATTTTATAATTGTGAAAACATTATTGAAACATTAATGTTCAATGATAAAAGAATAAATTTTTATATTGTCTGAAAATACTTTTTATGACCATTTAAAAATAAAATAAAAATAATATTTTATAAATACTATTTTTGTAATTTATGATTTGAAAATATTTTCTAAAGTATATAATAGACATAATAATGAGATATGCTGAAGTTTTCCTAAATTCATTTAATACTTTCTACAATATTTTAATTTTAAATTATAAACCAACTGTAAATTCTTTCAAATAAATATTTAATTTGAGTCTTTTTTAATTGCCTTTAAGATAAAAATGATTCATGATTTATTAAGTAATTTAAATATATTAATGTAGATGTTAGGATAAAAGTTCAACAAGTGGGAAAAAAAACCACAAAAACATTCAATGGAGTAAAAAAAAAACTGACCAGAACAAGTTGTGGCTTTATATAAACAGCCACAACAAGAAATTTTCATTCTGCCATTTTTTAAAATGTCAGAATGAAAATTTGTGTTGTAACTGTTAAAAGAATGACCACAATACATTTCAGCATTATCAAAACATCACAATATATCATAGTTATTTCCTGTTATATCCTGTTTACAGAATAAACATTCTATAGTAGCAAGCAAAGATTTCAGATGATATAACTAAATATGTATAATAATTAAGAACAACAGCCAAAATCAACTGTTTTTGCAGGAATTATTAGAACAACACTTAAATTACAGTTGCTATCTTTTGAAAGACATTTGTATTTTTTATTTCTCACAATTGCAGCTTATAAAGTTTGCTGCAATTGTGAGAAATAAAAAATACAAATGTTATATAAACTTACTTCCAAATGTTATATTTGAGGATGATTGAAAAGAAGGTAAACTTAAGGGCAGGTCATCAATGAAGTTCTTGTCAGCAGTTGTAAACTCATTGAGAGCATAGAACCACTCAAGTAGGCCTTTTTTGTACCCAACTGATACAGCCCAGATGTCTTTCACTGATGTGATGTCTGATCAAATCTGAAAAATGAGTGAGCTGACTGAATTAGCTGCATTCTTCTTCCTCAGTGAGGGTAACAAGGCAGATTGTTAAAATATGATTGTTATGCATACATGATAAAAATGCCTCATATTTCTGCAACAATGTGTTGTAGTCATTTTTTTAACAGTTTCAACATAAATATTATATCATGGCATTTTTTAAAATGTCAGAATGTATTACATTACTTTATAAGTAGCCAGGATGTGAAATTCCTTGTTGTAGCTGTTTCTGTAAAGCCACATGTTCTGGTAGCTTTTTTCCACTCATTGAGCATCTTTGATCTTTGAGCCTAAATGAAATATGTCTTATATTGTTTTTCTATTATTATTTACATACTATTAAAATATTCAGATTGCAGAAATTTTTCTATAATAATTTCATAATTTAATTTATAGATATTATATCACTTAGTATTATAAATAAATGTTATGTTATATTTTTATATTAATAAATGAAAGAAAAAAAAAACAACATTTTATTCAAAGATTTATAACTTATTCATTACTTANTAAAATTTAATTATTAATAATAGCTGAAAAATAGCTCCATGCATTAAGACAATTGTTTGACATAGACAAATACTTTGTTTCAAAATCAGTCTGTAGATTCTAATGGCCTGTGTAATTGCTGGATCTTACCCAGTCTAAAAGGTTTGGATAAAACTGAAACCTGAATACAAAGAGTACAACAAGTACAGTTAATTGAAAGCAATGATTTCATGCTGGTGTCATCTTAAATCAGAGGATGAACTTGACAGGCTTATGAATAAGGTCCAGGAGATGTGCCTTAGTAATTAAAAGTAAAGACTTCCCAATTAAATGTTAAATGCTTTTATGTTTTCAAGCATATCTAATGTTCATTGACTACATATAAAAGCTTTAATGAGTTTCATTTTTATATTTTTTCTTTGACTTAAATAGTCTTTTGTAACAAGTTCACAAGAAATAAAATGTTTCTTAGCTTTATAGTTTCTTTCCATCTTCTCACCCACAGTATGTAGAACAATACAGATATTTTAATTCTGTCAAAAGTTTTGAATTTCTTATAAAATTATCTTCAAAATGATGTCAGTTCCAAATATAATGAATAATATTGCAGGACTTTTCTACCAAGCTGTATATACTGATTTCTTTTAGTTTTTAATGAAAATATAATAATTAATACTTTTTATGCAGTTTTTAATGAAGGTAATGTCATGGGAATGAGATGCAAATAATTTTTGATAAAGGCACAAAAAACTAGTTACACCACTGGTTGTATACACAGAGATCAGAATGAGTTTTAGTTTTAACCAGACAGAAATTTATTTTAGTCGAAATGTAAGTGAACAATATAAAGTTTATCATTGACTATGGATACATAAATACAGAACAAAGGGAGACTCAAAGATCTAATGTTTTCTTCCCAACTTTCTGGTAGTGCTCTCTGATGAATACAACAAATGCAATTGTAACTAATTTTTATTTCATGATCATCCTATTCCAAAGAATAAGGTATAAATAACTGAAAATAATTTATTATATTTAAATTTTTAATGTCTACATTACTGAAAGTACAAATAACTAATTTTATCATCACTTATGTGCATATATTGTTCTTAGTGTTACACCAGGTTTGTTTTCACCCAGATAAACCAGCTTTTAAATTCATGATCCAGATTGATTATTAATTTGTCCAGCTTTTGTAGAAATTGTGAAATTATAATAAAATAAAATAAATTTATAAAAATACTTGGGAGTATTTTATTTTAATGGTTAAACACTAACTTCACACCCAAACTTATCCCTAGCCTAAGGGTGCGACTATGCAGACGCAAATTTAGTCGTGAGTGATATAGTTCTTGCAGAGAAAAATATGCACAAGCGAGAAGCGAGAAATCTTGCTGGCGTGAAAGAATTTCTGGTTCTCACACATATCTGACAGGGTTTGATATTTATTGCATCTTGCCTCTTCTTGTCACATATGCTTACTCATTTGCTCGGAAAATTTGCTCACTTGTGTCTGCATAGTTGCAGCCTAAAAGTGACATAAAATGTACTTTTAAAATTCTAACTTGCAAGTATCTCTGGCAAATATTAGGTCTGTTCCAACACAAGTCCCTAACTGGTTTAAAACTGGCATGCACATTATTCAGCTCTTGGCTGTAAAATGACATTGCACATGCCTTTTATGGTTTCAAATTCAAATTAGTTAGGGACTTGTGTTGAAACAAATCTATTGTCCAGGTCAACAATTTTGAAGAGGTGGCAACACTAATTGTTCTATAAATATATATCTTATTCAATTAAACAAATTGGTAAAACTATTTGTACATATAAAATAATGATAAAATTGTACAGATTTTATATGAAAATATATTCTAGTACACTGTACTAAATATAATTGTAAATTTCATGACATTCATATAGAAACCAGATCATTAATTATTTTCCTTCACAATAACTTTGAATTTTCACTTCTGTTAACATTAATTGTGTATATATTCAGGCTTTAAATAAAATTTTTTTTTGTCTCTTAACATAAATAAAATACATAATCATTCAATATATTATTAATCTGTTGAAAAGTTCTACCTATCTTTTACTGAATGAATTCTGTCAGATGTCATTCTACTGAATGAGATATTAATGACTTATGTAGATCTAGGGGAGCACCGAAGTGATCCAGATCAAAAAAAGAGGTAAGAGATAAATGAGGACCTCACAACACAACACACCTGAGAGCAAAAAAAAAAATTTATAACTTCAATATATGCGTGTGTACAGGTGGTGATGGATAACATTAGACGCTCGATGACAACTGATTTTACAAATGTAACTACCATCCGATTTTTTCAATTGACTCACTTGCTATACACGAATACCGATAATAAGAGAATTACAATCTATTACAAGAAGAATCCAAATCGTCGATCTGCCTGTGCCATACTCTACATAGGGATGGTTCCATGGCACTAGATAACAATGTGGAGTTGATGATCATGTGTGAATAAAAAAAAAGTCGTTAATCTCGAAATAACATAGCACTTGCCATTAACAAGCAAAGTTCTTTTAACTACTGTTGGAAATATCATTCCACATGTTGTCCGTACTCCAATGCGACTCGATTGTTCTTCCTTCCCATACGAATTTTCTCTTTGTCTCTCGTTCACATGTAGCGACCCCTTACCTCCTTTACACTCGTCCTCTTGCGCAAACCAGTTCAGGGGAGCCCGGAAAGAAAACAAAAAAAAAAAAAAAGTCCTTGCCATTGTCGGGTCACCCCTTTTATACCACCACATCATTAATCCTCCCGCTTCCTATCACATGGTCACTGTCACATCCAATCAGCAGTCCACCAACCACCACCAAAAGGTGGTGTGCGACACAAAGAAAAATTAACATTGACGCATCACAAAAATAGAAAAAAGGAAAATCCGATATATATAATAAAAGTATATCAAAAATAAAAATTAAATTACAATACAAAACGAGTGCATAGCACTACACTTAACATAACTTAACGTCATCAATACTTATAGGTTATACTCAATGAGGAAGCCATTGTTGATAAAGAAATGAGTATAAATTTTTTTCACCATTGTCTCAAAAATTAAGAAAAATAATAAAATATATTAAAATGTTTATTAATTTATTTTAGCTATCAAAGATAGCTAAGNTTAAAAATATAGCTTTAATTTCAAGTCACCCTATTTTAAACCCTTCTCCTCCCGAGACGTATATGAGAATGTCACGGAAAATACGACACCAGCTGTTCTCAAGGTCATCCATATGTATAAACAATGACTCATCAGTGTTAAATTTCACAGAAAGGCGAGACAAAGGAAACTAAATGATGAAGCTTTTTAACCAAAATTAACGCATTTCTTTCGTTTTTTTTCAGTTTTAAGTATTTTTTATGCTTAA